TGCATGTGGCTGTCCAATTTTCCCAGCACCATTTGTTGAAGAGACTGTCTTTTTTCCATTGGACATTCTTTCCTGCTTTGTCAAAGATTAGTTGACCATAATCTTTAGTAGGTATGGGATAGAGCTAAGGGATCTGCAGTTTAACCAGGAGCCCAGGTGATACATAGACAACTGGGCCACACACCAATATACTTTAAAGAAACATTAGTACATCCTGGTAAATGCCTCCTTGCCCACATTTATAACAGTTTCTCTTGGAGTATAAAGAAGTAAAATTGCTGGACATGGCACATTTTCAATATTACTCTCCAAAATGACTATATGAATATATATTCCTTCCAGCAGAAGAAGAGAATTCCCAAATTCCCATTTCTTGGCTAACTCTTGATGTGCTCATACTTTTTAATTTTTGCCAAGAACATAACTACCTTACAGAATGATCTTTCAGTTAGCAACGTTTGCTAAAGCAGCTCTTGAAAAATCTGCCACATTTTGAACAAAGACTCCTTTTTAATGACATAATAACTTTTACCCCAAAATACATTAAATAAATATGCCAAAAGAAGTGATAATTCAACATTACAGTTTAAAGGAAAAATATCCTCACCAATCACAGAACGTAAGAATTCCTCGTCAGAGAATCTCATATGGAACAAATTTGAATTGTGCTCTATGTTTACATGAACCACAAATGTTTTTTGCTTATTTTTGCACACAGACATAAAGCAAATAGAAACAAACACCCCAAATTGAGAACAAAACAGGAAGGAGCAGCTGGCAGAAATGTGGAACGTTTCGTAATTCTCTCAAAGGTGAAGGAAGCCCAGGACACAGCAGGAATCTGAGTGAAATTAAGGTTTCAGTAAAGTGTGAATTGTGCGTGTAAGACTCCGGTGGCCGGCAGTGGAGTCCCCACTTTACGGTGATGACACTACGTTGAGGGAAAACTCACGTGAAAATCAAGTCAGGGGAAGCCTGGGTGGCTCAGTCGGTTAAGCGACTGCCTTTGGCTCAGATCATGATCCCGGGGTCCTGGGATCGAACCCCGCATCGAGCTCCCTGCTCAGCAAGGAGCCTGCTTCTCCCTCTGCCCCTCCCCCACTCATGCTCGCTCTCCCTCTCTCTCTCTCTGACAAATAAATAAAAAGAATCTTGAAAAGAAAAGAAAACGAAGTCAGAAGTCGAGTCAGAGCATGCCATGATGCGGTCTGGTGAGGAGTCTGGGACGGTCTTCGCTGTAAAGAGTGACCCCGAGCGTAGCCAGAACCGCTGGATTCGGAATAAAAGGGTTACGGAGCCCTAACCTGGGCTCTGGAGCAGAGCTTCTGGAACTTAACGGGCACACAACGCCCCCCACCCCCAACTCCCGGGGTGGGGGGGTGCTGTGAACCTGCTCTTCTGCTGCAGCGGGGCCAGGACGGCCCGAGACTCTGCATTTCCAACCAGCTCCCGGGCCAGGCCTCTGCGCGGAGCAGCAGGGGTTCCCGGGATCCGTGGGCAGCGCGGCGGCTCCGCCCGCTGACTTTGCTCCCAGCCGGTGGCCGAGAAGCCACGCCTCACACGCACGCAGCTGCCCTAGAAGGACGGTGGGGCCGGGAAGGGGCGGGAACCCGTTGCCCGCGCCGCCCGGCTGGGGGCAGCCAGTGGCTCAGAGTCCTTCGCGGGGACTCACGTGACCCAGGACGGTTGCGGGAAGAGCAGGGGGGCAACCGCTGGGGAGCTGAATACGGTCACCCGCGTCCACGCCCCCGGGGACCGAGCCTTCACAGGTGGAGGAGAGAGACGGCCGACACGGAGATCGGACGACCAACACCGAGACGGACGGGTACTCGCTGTTCCTAGCCAAGAGATGCAGTCGTCAAAGATCTTCTGGGAAAAGGTTTTCCTGAGCTCGAACATCTCTATCTGCAGACTGAAAGCTCACCCCACCTCGGGGAAAATTACCTCCCTACACACCGGCACAGCTGGGCAACAATTTTTAACGCCGACTTTTCACCACAGAAACCCCATGCAGTCCTTAAGACAGGAGGAAACCCATCATTTATTGAGGGCTCCCCTTGTGTTCTGCACCAGGTGCTTCCAGGAATTCTCTCATCTGAAGCTCAGGGCATTCCAGTAAAGCCGTGGTGCCGGCCTTCAGGTTGACTGGATTCAGGAACTCCATCGATTTGGTCTGGACGCCTCTGCTCTCCAGCTGCCTCAGCTCTCTTCCATCCCAGGCTGTAGCAGACAGGCTCCCTCCACGTGGGCACACGCAGCTTCGGGCTCACGTCATCGCGGCCCAGGCCCTCTGGAAGAAGGAGAGAGTCTCTCTTCTGGGGATAGCGGCCCCCAGCCTTCTTGTCCTGCTCCTCAGGATATGGAACCTCTGCCTTGTGAGCAAGCTGGAGCGGGAGTGATCGGGTCCCAGTAGTACAGCCTGCTGCACGTGCAGAAGAACTTCTGTCCCACAGTGGAGTCTGGACAGGGATGGGACCTCCCATCCTCTGCCTTGAATCTGCCTGGATATAGCTTCTGCAACACAGAGTTGGGGTGATGAGAGATGCTGATGGCCTGCCCTTCCTGGAGTGAAACCATAGCCCTAGACTGGGAGCTGGGAGGAAATGGAGTCCCATCTCTTTGGTTGCATCTTACAAAAGTAGAGATTCCATCAGACTGAGCTGGGAAGTGGGAAGCAGTTTGTGGCTCAAATGTCACAGACTCCCATTTAAGTAACAAGTTCATTACTCTTACTAAGGTTTACCAGTAGATTTTCTTGGATAAATGTTTCTCTATTTGCTGTATGTTCTTAGGACAATTCCAGAGACTTTATTATTTTTTTAAATTTTTTTAAAAGATTTTATTTATTTATTTGAGAGAGAGAATGAGATAGAGCATGAGAAGGGGGAGGGTCAGAGGGAGAAGCAGACTCCCCGCTGAGCAGGGAGCCCGATGCGGGACTCTATCCCGGGACTCCAGGATCATGACCTGAGCCGAAGGCAGTCGCTTAACCAACTGAGCCACCCAGGTGCCCCCAGAGACTTTAAATGGTTGGGTTTTTAAAATAATTTTCACCAGTTAAATGGTTGTTTCACTGGGAAAACTGTCTACCGACCTCACCCCACCATTTTGGAAGTCCATACTTCAAGTTTTTTTTTTTAAAGGTGAAAAATAAGTTTGTTTGATAGTACTATAAACTCATGATTCAAACATATTCCATGCGTTTCAATCCACTGCAATTATCCTATTGATGCTCAAATTATCCCAACTGTGACTAGGGAAAACTTCTTTAGGTTGGCTCCTAAGTCCTTTTGACATGATCCTAACAGTTGTTGACAGCTTTCTTGCTGTTAAAATACTGTGTACATTCTACTTGCTTCGGCAGTTACAAATACTGAAATTGGAATGATACAGAGATTAGCATGGTCCCTGTGCAAGGATGACACACAGATTTGTGAAGCGTTCCATATTTTTACATACCATAGATTTCACTCATGTGTAAAACTTAAGAAACGAAACAAATGAACAAGGAAAAAAAAGAGACAAGGCAGAAAAACAGCCTTTTAACTACAGAGAACACACTGATGGTTACTAGAGGGGAGGTGGGTGGGGAGATGGGTAAAATAGGTGAAGGGGATTAAGAGTACACTTATCTTGATGAGTACTCAGTAATGTACAGAATTGTTGAATCACTATATTGTACACCTGAAACTAATATAACACTATGTTAACTACACTGGAATTAAAATAATACATACATACATACATACATACATACTGTATACATTACCCACAGAATGCTTTTGAAAAACAGAAAGGTCACACTTACCAGTACCAAAAGGAGTATATATGGCTTCCAAAGAAATGAAGATAAAAGCAAACACTCAAAAGGGAAAAAGAGATTAAAAAATCATAAAACAAATTTAAAAAATAAGGAAACATTAAACATAGAATAAAAAGGGATGCCTGGGTGGCACAGCCAGTTAAGCATCTGACTCTTGGTTTTGGCTCAGGTGGTGATCTCAGAGTCATGAGATCGAGCTCCGAGTTGGCTTCGTGCTCAGCATGGAGTCTGCTTGAGATTCTCTCTGCCCCTCCTGCTCACGCTCTCTTTTTCTCTCAAATAAATAAATCTTTTTTTAAAAAAGATAGCATAAAAATATGACATGAATAATAAAAAATGTATTAGTCATCATAATAAATATATTGGAATCTACCCCCTATTAAAAATTAAGATTCAAAAAGAAAACAAGATTCACAGGGGTCCCTGGCTGGCTCAGTTGGTAGAGCATGTGACTCTTGATCTCAGGGTTGTAAGTTCAAGCCCCACATGGGTTGTAGAGATTACTTAAAAAAAAAAGACAAAAATAAATAAAAATTAGGATTCACAAATTGGATTAAGAATTCTATTTTATGTTATTTAAATGAAACAAAATGAAACAAAAAGATTAATGTAAAGGACGGGGAAATATAAAAGAAATGCAAATGAAGAGAAATCAAAGATGAAAATACTTACATTAGTACAATTTGACATTTAAAAAATGACACTGGAATTTATAAAGCCAAAATATGAAGAAGGATAGAATATCACTTAATAATACGATTAATAAGTGTTGTTTAATAGCTTCCTGGAAAGAAACATGTATTGAATACTAGATAATATACTGGTTTTTTTTCCTAGTGTCATGTAGCATTTACAAAAACTGAGTATATAGCTGTACTAACAGTGGCATGTAAGCAGGGTTCAAATCCTAAAGAAGACTCACAGGACCCAAAATGACATGGCTTACAAATGTACAGTTTATTATAGGGAAAGGACATGCTATAGCAACAGCACAAAAGTCAGAATATACATCACAGTGTATGATTCATAGCAGGGGTCTGGAGAGGCCAGGTGCAGGCTCCTATTGTCCTCTTCTTCTGGTCCTAGTGATGTTCTGTACTCATATCTTCCCTGCCCAAGCCTCGAATCAGCCATTTCTTTAAGGAGCACTGGTTCCGTTTATTGGAGAATGGTATTTAGGAACAAAGATCTGGGTGCTAGGTGTGCTCATTGCTGCTGGGGTAGCACTGCTTCTAGAACATTTCAGAAACCAGAGCCAGAAAATATATCTAAGTATACTACCCTAGTACGTATCTATGTACATATCTATATGTACATATCTATATTTCTGTATGTATCTACCAACTAGAGTACATTTATGTACAGTTCTTTTTATTGTTAGCCTTATAATATCGAGTCAAAACACCAGTTTTTCTTTTTTTTAAATTGAAGTATAATTGACATACATTTTATTAGTTACAGCTGTACAACATAATGATTCAATATTTGTATATACTGCAAAATGATCACCCCATTAAGTCCAGTTAACATCTGCCACCATATACACATTTCTTGTAATGAGAACTTTAAAGACTTCCTCTCTTAGCAACATTCAAATATGCAATATAGTAATATTAACTATAGTCACCATGCTGTACATTACATGCCCATGACTTAGGAAGTTTGCACCTTTTTAAAAAAATATTTTATTTATTTGAAAGAGAGAGAGCACAAGTGGGGGAATGGCAGAGGGAAAGGTGAAGTAGGCTCCCCGCTGACCAGGGAGCCCGACGCAGGGCCTGATCTCAGGGCCTCGAGATCATGACCCGAGCCGAAGGCAGATGCTTTAACCAAATGAGCCACCCAGGCACCCGGAAGTTTGCACCTTTTGACTCCCTTCATCCATTTTGCCCACACCTCACCCCTCTCCTCTGGCAACCACCAATCTATTCTCTGTGTCCATAAACTTAAAAGCAGTTTTTCAAAGTTACTTAACATTCCCCCCTACCCTCTTCAGCAAAGTTATACCATACAGTTTTAATACCATTAGATTCTTTTGTCACATGCTGCATTCCATCCCAGGATCACTGACAATCAGATGGATTTTTAAAAATTTGCGAACAATAAAGTTCATTCTTGGTGGTGTAACATTCTATGGGGTTTTTAAAAAAGATTTTATTTATTTATTTGACAGAGAGAGACACAGCAAGAGAGGGAACACAAGCAGGGGGAGTGGAAGAGGGAGAAGCAGGCTTCCCGCTGAGCAGGGAGCCCAATGCAGGGCTCGACCCCAGCACCCTGGGACCATGACCCGAGCCGAAGGAAGATGCCCAACCACTGAGCCACCCAGGCGCCCCCATTCTATGGGTTTTTGGCAACTGTAGAGTCATATATATCTACCCCACCCTTGTACAGCCCATTATATACTCAACCTTTCCCTCTCCCACAATCCCTGGCAACCACTGCTCTGCTTTCCATCCTGTGGTAGACTGAATAATGACCTGAAAAAATATGCAAGTCCTAATCCCTCCAACCTGTGAATGTTACATCACATGGTAAAAGAGACTTTGCAGATGTGATTAAGAATTTCGCCATGGGGAGATTATCCTGGATTATCCAGGTGAGTCCTAAATGTAATTACAAAGGTCCTTAAAGGAGAGCAGCAAGACAGTCAAAGGAGGTAGTAGGAGACATGAGGGTGGAAACAAGAGGTTGGAGTGAGGTGAGGAAGGAGTCACAAGCTATGTAATACAGGCAGCCTCCAGAAGGCAGAAAAGTTATGGAAATGAATCCTCTCTTGGAGCCTCCAGAAGGAACCAGTCCTACAGCCCCTTGACTTTAGCCTAGTGAAACTGATTTTTTTTTGAAATTTTTTTATTGTTATGTTAATCCCCATACATTACATCATTAGTTTTAGAGTGAAACTGATTTTTTACTTCAGGCTTCCAGAACTGTAAGAGACTAAATTTGTGTGGTTGTAAGCAACCAAGTTTGTGGTAACTTTTTATAGCAGCAGTGGGAAACTAATACATCTCCCTATAGTTTTGCCTTTTGCACAATGTCTTATGAATGGCACTATACAATACTTCGGGGTCTTAGAATCTGGCTTCCTTCACTTGGCAAAATGTATTTACAATTCATCCATGTTTATGTTATATATATTGTACCACTAAGAAATAAGATTCATTCATGTCAAGTGAATCAGTAGATCTTTCCTTCTTATCACTGACTAGTACTCCACTGTATGCATGTGCCAGTTTGTTATCCATTCACATGTTGAAGGACATCTGGTAGTTTCTGATGAATAAAGCTGCTATAAACATTTGCATACAAGTTTGTGTGTGCACATAAATTTTCCTTAGCTATTAAAGAAAACTCATAGGTATTCATAGCTTTTAGGACATGGAGATGGCAATTTAAATATCATTACCAGGGAAACACATTATTAAGTAATACAAACAAAAAGAATTACAGGCTTTTTAAGGCCAAAGTTACGTTCACAGAACAAGCCAGAAGTTTTGAGTTCCAGATGTCTTACAATACCCCTTTGTTAGTAATAACATTTTCAAGGACATATTAAGAAACCAGAAAATCATCTTATTCTGTTGCTGGGATTTCTTATACTGGCAGTTAGGACAGCCTGTGGTTTCCCAGACCAAATGCTAAAATTCCATTATTTAGAACCGAAAGAAATAAAGACAGATCTCAGAAGATTAAAACTTACTATGGAAAGGAAAAGGGCAAAATAGAACTATAAACAATTGGAATATTACCATGGAATGTTACCCATCCTACAGTGTGAACAGCAAAAACTGACAACATCTGAATTTCTGATTTATTATACTGGCAACCCATTTACCTCTAGTCCTTAGTACTGTTGCCACAAAACTTTTCAAATAATTTCATGAAGTCATTAAAACTTACCTGTTTTTTCCAACAGATGTGCAGTGACACCTCTGTCAGTGGAGTATGCCTGAACAAAACAAAAAATAAGTCATTCAAACATAAAAGTGGCAAAAATTTTCCCTAAGGGACCCAAACTACAGAGGAACAATTCTGAGTTGTACCCCTCAATGCAAAATCAGGTACAAGTCACACACCTATCGAAAAGGCTTATAAAACTAACTGCAAAGTGTCTAATAAATATTCATCGGGGTTTGAGATTTTTCTCCTACTTACAAGCTAATGAAGTAGCCTGTTTTCATTTACTGGATGCCAGCAGCATGGTAAGCAGTCTGAGCATCATCAGCATATTTGTATGGGTTCCCCACTCCCCAAGTCCCACAGGGGCCATGCCGAGGGGCCCAGTGGACACATTGTGTATATCATGTACTTTTGCATTGCAGCTGAGGAATACTGGCCTTGGGGGAATTCACATCTTCTAGAGCAAGCCTCTAATTTGTTGAGAAGGAGATATCACCTCATCCCATCTTCCAACAATAGCATGCCCAGAGAGAAAGCAGGCTATCTATCCTTCCACATGAAGCGGACAATAAGAGGTCCTGCCCAAAGTTTTGCTCCCAGGAATATTTTCCTTCACCACCGTCTTTCAGGGGCTAGAATGCATCCATTTTTAAGCTGGTGCCAGCAAACCGTGTGTAAACCAGGCCTGTGCTTTTTCTCTGTTAACCAGTCATAGAGAACTCTCTGCGAAGTCATAAATGTGGGTTAGGGGAGAAGTAAATCAGTAGAAGCAAGTACCATGGGAGTTTAAAACATCGCCTCATGCACTTCACTTGTGCCTTCTGACAGCTTGGACTCAATCATGTATATACAGCGTTACCATTTTCTACTGGAATACTGTTGTCACATCCTATTTTAGGGTTTCCATGGATCAGACGACACTCACTTCCTGATGGTCATTTCAAGTGGCACACCTCACTCTCCTTTCAACTTCCAGATTTCTTGCCCATGCTTTTCATTGAGTGAACCTATCCAGAAGCAGGAGTGCAAAGAAACCTATTGATACTGCCCCCTCCCATGACACAGAGCAGGTAGAGAGGGTGGAGTGAATCTGGAAGGGCAAATGGAAGATATCTAGCACAGCCCATAAATGGCATTGATGTCACTGGCATGATTTTCTAAAACATTAAGCCATTCTTGGGAAAGTTCCAAACAAAACAACACACGCTCCTTTCAATTTACACAGTAGTTCCGTTCCTGGAAAATTCCAGGATATTAAAACCATGCAAAAAATACTTTGAGTTATGCTCACTTCAGCAGCAATATACTAAAATTGGAATTATACAGAGAAGATAAGCATGGTCCCTGCACTAGAATGACATGAAAATTTGTAAAAAGCATCCCATATTTTTAAAAATAAATTTTAGAAAGAGAAAAAAGTACATTGAGTTTACATGCAAAATGAGGTCAGGTTCAGGTTCAGATGATTATAAATAAGTTTTTCATACACATGAATGCCTAGGGGGATGTTTGAAAATTACATAAGATGTAGGAAAATTTATCCTCGTAAGAAAGGCACATGCATTGAAGGACATATGACATTCTTGGCTTCTGCCCAACTAACTAATCCCCAGCCAGGGGGTTCCCGTCAATCACTGCAACAACCATAGTAACCCCACGTGTTTTCAAAGCATACCCTTGGACGGTACTGCCCCTAGTGATAGTCTCCTAAGGTGAAACATTCATCCTTGCAGAATTTGAGTTTGATATTTCATCCACTTAGCGTCTGGAGGCAACACTCAATGGAAGAAATTACTTCTCAATTTATGGATTCTTGTTCAATCCAACCTACAAAAGTCTCTGACCCAGTTACCAAACACTTGCTGCCATTTCTGGCGATGTTTGTGAATTTGAATTTTCTGATTTAGTATAAATACAAAGTGAGAAAATAACTGAACGTGAAGCTCAAACTTCACACGGAGCCAAATTAAAGTTTATAAATAACCACATTTCATATCACCTGATATTAAACTATAACATTTTTCTACTTTTAACTAATATATTTTAAGTAATACATCCACATTATATAAAAATACAAAATATATAAACAAAAATAAAGAATAAAAACATAACATTCTATGGTAGACAGAATAATGGCTCCCCTCAAAGATGTCCACGACCTGATTTCCCGGAACCTGTGAATGTTACCTTACATGGCAAAAGGGACTTTGCAGATGTGACTAGTGAAGGATCTTGAAATGGGTAGATAGCCTGGATTGTCCAAGTGGGCCCAATGTAATCACAAGGGTCCTTAGGAAAGGGAGCCAGGAGGGTCAGAAGACAGAGAAAATGATGTGACAATAAGAGCATATATTGGAGTGATGTAACGAGAGTCAAGGAATGCAGGCAGCCTCAGCCTCAAGAAACTGGAAGACACAAGCAATGGATTCTCTCCTAGAACTTCCAAAAGGAACCAACTCTGCAGACACCTTGATTTTAGTCCCAAAAGCCTCTTCATATTTCTGACCTCCAAAACTGTAAAAGAATAAATCTGTGTTGTTTTAGGGCACTAAATTTGTGGTAATTCATTACAACAACAATAGGAAACTCATAAACATTCCTGCCCCACCCCGGAGAGATCCACCATTGTTAACACCTTGGTACCTGTACTTCCAGATCTTTTCCTATACCATTATATGTGTCCGTGCATGTGTGTGTACTTCTTACAAAAATGAATCACAGTTGAATCACATGCTATTTTATAACCTGCTTTTTTAAGTCTACAAACTCCATATGTCCATTTCATCAAATATCTAGACTACATTAAAAATTTCCCAAATGACACAAAAATGCCCTTAACAGTTGTTTGGTCCATAACAGGATCTATTCGAGGACCACCCATGGCATCTGATTATTAGGTCCCTTTTGTTATGATGTTGACTATTAAAGAGACGGTTCTACAGTTGCTTTGAAGAATATGCCACCTTTTGGTTCATTTAGTTTCTACCTCTGGTGCTATGTAGTTTGTCCTTTTTTTTTTTAAAAGATTTTATTTATTTACTTGACAGAGAGAGACACAGCAAGAGAGAGAATACAAGCAGGGGGAGTGGGAGAGGGAGAAGCAGACTTCCCGCAGAACAGGGAGCCCGATGTGGGGCTTGATCCCAGGACCCTGGGATCATGACCCGAGCCAAAGGCAGACGCTTAATGACTGAGCCACCCAGGTGCCCCTTCGTTTGTCCTTTTATCCCTGTATTTGCTATAACATTTTTACTAAACATTTTTGGCTAGAATTCTCTATAGGTGATGGGCATTCAGGTTGAATCACATCAGAAAACACATAATATATGGTTAATCCATTAATGATGTTGAGACTGACCACTGGATTAAGGTGATGATTGCCTAATCACTCCATTTTACAGTTATATTTTTGCCCTGAAACTAGGAAGTGACCATTGTTCTTTTTGCATTTTAAAAATATCCAGTTCAAGGGTGCTTGGCTGGTTCAGTTGGTAGAGCATGTGACTCTTGATGTCAGGGATATGAGTTCAAGTCCTATTTGGGTATAAAGATTAATTAAAAATAAAATCTTTTTTAAAAAATCCAGTTCCCATTAACCATTTTAACACCTGTAGATATGGTGTTATGATCATTATAATTATCATGGTAATTTCATTCAAGATTGTGATGTTTTTCAAAATCTATCATCTCTTCTACATTTACTAATTAGCATTCACCTGTGAAGTAGAGCATTCCTTCATTTGGGGGGATATTTGGTTACATGAAATACAAATTCTACCGGAAAGGCAGGATAAAATGTTTAATTTTTTTACCATTATAATTACGAATTTTCATAGTAAGTAGTTGATTCAACAGCTTCCTCAAACAGTGAATTTTCAGAGTCCATCTGTTTGAACTCATTGCCACCATTAGTCTTTATAATGCTCTAAATGTCATGACAATGGCCAGTGGAACATAACCCCAGTAATCTTTAAGAACTTTATTTATTTATAGCACAAAAAAATATCCCTGGCTTTTCTTGTATTTTCCCTGTTTCAGCCTTGGAATAAGCTATTTCTCCAAAAGGTCCAGTTGCACTTTAATGGGGAATGGTTTTCAGAGACCACAACCTGAGCACTTAGGGGTGTTCATTACTGGGGTAACATTGCTTTTAGGCCATTTCAATGGATACAGTTAGAAAAATATACATATTGAGGCAGACAGACTCTAGGGTGGCCCCCATGATCCCTACCTCCTGGTGTTCATGTTCCTGTGTGCTCCCCTCCCGAAAGTGGAAGGAATCATGACTTGCTTCTAGCCAGTAGTGTATGGCAAAGACGGCAGGATGCACATGATTACATATATATGGTTATATATGTATGACTGATGGCAGTCTTAGAAGGAGAATCTCTCCCTTGCTAGCTCTAAAGAAGCCAGCTGCAGGCTGTGAACCACTTATGAAAAGAGCCACTTGACAAAGAACTGAGGGCAGCCTCTGGCTAACAGCCAGCAAGAAACGGAGACCCTCAGTCCAGCAGCCTGCAAGGAATGAAAAACTGCCAATAACCACAAAGCTTGGGAGCAGAGGCAAGCACAACCTTGACTGACACCTTGATTGAACCTCTGTGAGTCCCTAAAGCAGAGCATTTAGCTAAGCCATGCCCAGACTCCTGACCCACAGAAAGTGTGAAATAATAAATGTGTCCTGTGTTAAGCCTCTAACTTTGTGGTAATATTATGTAGCAATAGATAACGAATACACTATTTAATCACGGGTGTATATGAATTTTTAAAATTCAATTTTAACATTACAGTGTTTTTCTTAATTTCTCAGATTTTTATATTAATATTCTTACAAATAATGGGACTACTGGTCCTATCCCCTGCAGGACTGCACACCAAATGGTGAACAAAAAAAACTGAAAATGAGGGATCTCTTCTATCTTCCCATTCTTCCACTCTTTGAAGGAGAACAGTTATTCATTCATATTTTCTCATTCACAGACTTGCTCATTTAAGCAAACTAAGTCTATGAAATCACTTTATAATAATTTTAGCCCTAAAATTCCT